AACACAACTTTTACTCAGAATTCCTTCCGCGGGGATTTGCTCTTATATTTCATTGATTTTGGAATATCTTGACAAAATAATTATTGGTGAACATAAAAGAACATATTTTTTATAAGTTGTGTGAAATACAAGTACATCTGTGACAAAAAGGGGGACTATCTTCCCCAAATTTTGGGGATTCCATAATCTGCCCGCCGCAGTGTCTATACCGAGACACTGCATAGGAGTTCGATAAGCACGGGAGTATATCAGTTGTGTATGGATTTTTTGGCCCACCCTGCAAGTTCATAGTAGTTTATGAAGCTCAAGACCCGTATCCAGCTCTTGCCATGGGGTGTTCAACTTTGAAAAAAATTAAGGGGTAGAGAGGATGGCTGCCATCCCCCAGTAGTAATAGAAGTAAATGATAAAGTATAGACTGACACGAGACTTGAAACCCCTTCTGACAATTCTTGAACGTTTTCACACTGGGTACTGGACAGTGTGTCAACCTCTGGCCTTGTCTTTGTCAACTAAGTCTTGGTAGTTTGCCTCCTTCAAATTATGTGAAATGTTGAGGCAGTCTTCCCATGTTATATTTACAATGATGATGTATTGAAAATATTTGTTGATCCATCTGTGATGTTGAAACTTGTCCGTACTTCTGTCCGTCCGTCCACAATAGTGGCACATTTTAAAACCTCTGTCGATAGAATTCCCGTATTAAGTTATTTTTGTTCAACCTCAATACAGAAAACTCCCCTCTGACTCCTGGTTCAAAAGCTCGCCTATTTTCAAGATGGCCGCCATTTTTGTCTCGCAAAATTCATTTGTGACCCATTTTATAGCTTTACAAATAATGTCAGGTGTCCTGCATTGTTAAAATCCATGACAATGTGAAGAGTAGTTATATGAAATAATTTTGTTACAAAAAATCAGCAAAAAATTATATTAGATTTTTTATTTTCGGCAATTTTAGTTGATAACATTGATTTGACCATCTGTCTCGTGAAATCCACTTTTGAACCATTTGCCTTAAAACCACTGTCGATAGGATTCCCGTTTTAAGTTATTTTTGTTCAACATCAATACGAAAAAAGCTCCCCTATGAATCCTGGTTCAAAAGCTCGCCTATTTTCAAATGGCTGCCATTTTTGTTTCGCGAAATTCACTTTTGGCCCATTTTCTAGCTTTACAAATAATTGCAGGTGTCCTGCATTGTAAAAAGCCATTCACTGTAAAGATTAGTTGTATGAAATAATTTTGTTACAAAAATCGACAAAAAATCTTATGCTTTTTTTTATTTTCAGCCATTTTACTTAACGTTGATTTGTCCACCTGTCTCTCAGTCAGTCCAGTCAGTGGCAAGTTTTAAAACCTCTGTCTGTCAACATTTGGCTCTTTTTAAATCCTCTGTAGATAGGATTCACATTTAAAAATATTATTGTTCAACATCAATAAAGAAAAAATATATTTTCAAAATGGCCACCATTTTTGTCTCGGGAAATTCACTTTTGGCCCATTTCCTAGCTTTACAAATAAGTTCAGGTGTCCTGCATTGTAAAAGGCCATGTCTTTGTAAATAGTAGTTGTATGAAACAATTTTGTTACAAAAAATCGGCAAAAAATTATTTCCGTTTTATTTTCACTTTTGAGCAACACCATGTGAGCCCAGTACCCACGGTACTAATTTTTCGACCGGGTACCAAGTTTGAACCCAGCATGGGGATTTACTACCCGGTACCCGGTTTTTTCTACAAACCCTAGTTGATAGATATGTGCCCCCATCTTATTCCCTTGTACTGTTAAGGTTTAATGTATATGCACTCCCCTTAACCTTAACTTATAACATTGATGGCAGTACTGTCAACCCCCAAAGATTTTCTCGCGGGACAGATTTTTTAGACCCAGTGCCCAAAATTCGCGGGATTTTGCGGGACATCTACTAAATTCGCGGGATTTCGCGGGACATTTAAGGGATTTGCGTGATTGCGCTTATAGGCCAATTTTTTTTATCAAATTCGCGGGATTTCGCGGGACCATTCGAGGGACAAACACCCTAATTGCGGGACAGTTAACAGGTTTACCAGCAAAAACTTCATAGAGGGACAGATTTTCTAGAAAAAGTGCCCTAAATTTGCGGGATTTCGCGGGACATCCACCTAAATTTGCAGGATGTCCCGGGACATTCAAGGGATTTGCGTGATTTGGACTAATGTAAAAGCGTGTAAAAGTACTTGAATCAAACTTTCAGATACTGATTAATCAAATATAATGCACCGTTACATTGTAACTTAAATAAACGTCAACATAATTTCACAAAATACGCATAGAAATATTATTAAACTTTATTGTAATTTATCAAAAACAAAAACCATGCTTGAGGTGTGAGTATCGTAATCTAACACGAAATTCAAAAATTTGGAACAATACTTTGCGTCGTGACCAACTACTACCATACTCAATTGAAAGCCCATGATATAGGGGTTCGATTAATCTACATCAAATTATAGGGAATGAGGTTACTTTTCTAGATAGGGTTTGTAGAAAAAACCGGGTACCGGGTAGTAAATCCTCCATGCTGGGTTCAAACTTTTTTTTATTCCTTCATTCTTATTTTTGTACATGTAAATGTAATGCAATTAATAATATAAATAAAATTTACGTAGACAAACTTGGTACCCGGTCGAAAAACCGGGTACCCAAAAAACGAAATATACGAATATACAACATAATTAGATCATTAGAAAACGTGTAAGATTTGTTTTTAATTTACAAAAATGTAACTTCCTTCAAAATTGAGCTAGAAGCTTCAAATAAAAAGCATTTTAAGCCTCTTTTCTTCCTCTATCATCATGGTCATATTTCCATTGGTAATGAAGGGGGAGGGGGTGCGATCACACCATCACACCCTCTCCTGGCTACGCCAATGACATTGTAAGACGATTTGAATAACAAGACAAATCAATTTTACTCTATTTTCAATGAGTTCGTATGTTGGTACGTGAACATAACCAATGAAAATATGGTCATGACGATAGAGGAAGAAAAGAGCCTTAAAATATGCTTTTTATTTGAAGCTTCTAGCTCAATTTTGAAGGATGTTACATACATTTTTGTAAATTCAAAACAAATCATACACGTTTTCTGATAATCTAATTATGTTATACTCGTATATTCGTATTTTTCATTTGTTGGGTACCCGTCTTTTGACCGGGTACCGGGTACCAAGTTTGAACCCAGCATGGAGGATTTACTACCCGGTACCCGGTTTTTTCTACAAACCCTTTCTAGATATCAGCGTCCATTTATTGTAACTCGCGTTTGCTAACATTTGCTCAGTTCTGAGATGAAGGCCACACGGATAGTAAAAAGGCCAACGTTGGAACTATTTGTGACCTACATCCCTATTGTCGTAATTAAAATGAAAGTTGAACCCTTCCTCTTTATTTTGATACCAAACAACAGCATGCTAGGTACTTAAAATTAGGTAAACTTTACTCCTCAAAAGTGCAAAAACTTAGCTTCTTTTATAAGATAAGATAATCACCATATAGGGGATTGCAACAATTTCGGAAATTCGCGGAGGTCAAAGCCACATTTGCGGGACTTCGCGGGACATTGCGGGACACGCGGATTAGCCTAATTTTGATCGAATTCGCGGGATAATCCCGCCATTCGCGGGACACTTGACAGCTCTGTGATGGAAACGTAACTGGCCTTTATTTCAAATATCTCCTTTTCTCATTTTTTTCCTCAATTACAATTGGTCGAAAATTGATGATAAATTTGATGAATTTTTGAAAATCGTCATTCCCATATAATCCAATGGGAAATGGAGGGTTTTGGGCAAATCAGAAATCAGGATATATTTTCAGTAAAAGATTCAGCAAAAAATATTTTTATATAGAAAATTGAATTGTCTAACTTTTTTTGTCCACTAAATGTTTAGTTTATTTGATGAATACTAAAGTTACTGCGCTTCGAAGTCATTTTTGAAAATCATTTTTCGCCTCCTGTGTTATTTTAATGGGAGAGGTTTTTTGAAAAACAATTTTGACTTTAAAGCCCTATAACTTTGTTGAACCTGAAGAAACATATCAAAGTTAGCAAATTCAATTGCCTGCCTCGTATTTTTGCAAGGACTCGGATGGATGGATATTATGTCATATGACTTGCGGCAAACCTACCGTTTCCCATTGGTTCACATGGGAATGTCGACTTTCAAAAAGTCATCACATTTATCATCAATTTTTGACTTATCGCAATTGAGGAAAAAATTGAGAAAATGTTGAGGTTTTGAAAATGAATAAAATCAATAGTATAAGTATTTTCATCGCAGAATAAGTAAATAAAAATTCAAAGGTAAAGAGGCTTTAACACGGAGTTCAATGGGGGAGCTAAGGTTGTCAAACTTATGGAGGGGAGTGTACGTCTACTACTTAACATTTTACGGTTGCTATAGTAACCAATGTGATGACCTATGGCGGTCCAAGAGAACAATATTACTAAACATGCTAAATTTACTTACATAAACTGTCAAAATATCTAGTTTTGTTCTCATGGCAAAAGTGAATCTTATATCAATATTTCCCATCTTGTTTTCTTTGGTTATGCCAAAGAATAATTGTAAACATACTGCTCTTCAAACATCTGGAACAAATCACCTGGTTTTATGATGCTGTCAAAGTTCTCATGGGTTCATGAAAGAGAGAAAGCAAGATTCACCCATTAGTAAGCTTTAAAGCAAGGTTGGTTGGGTTGAAAAGCTTATGATGATTCTGCTGCTCATGTCAACATCCTTCGTTAGAATCTACTGAGTCTGAAATCAATTTAGGGAGTCAGTTGTTTTTTTAATTTCACCCCTAACGACAAATCGAGAATCATCCCCATCTCTACCCTGACCAACCTTGCCATACATCCCACTACATGTTTTGATTTATTTAGTGTTATCGCACCAATTGAAGCCAATTTATATAGTTTCAATTTTAGACATTCACATCAGTTCAAAAATCAATCAGGGGTCCGTAGAACCGATTCTTAGTGTTTCCATCCGTAAAGTTGAAAAAGTAATCCATTCCTGCGTCGACAAACTCTTTTTCCGATATTTCCCCATCGTAGTCTGTATCCATGTAGTCAAACTGAATTCTAGCCAGACTTGGATCAAGGTCAAAAGCCTTCCACCAGTGTATGTACTCAGAGAATTGGATAAAGCCATCAGAGTTGAAATCCAGTGCCTGTAAAATTTAGATCAGAGAATAGTAGTACTTGTAGTTCAATGCTAACCATAATCAATTGAATAAAATAAAATTATCAAATGTTCCTCTATACAGTGCAAAACACATTATCTTTTTAAACCATTGCCAAGATTGAACAAATGATACACTATTTCAGTAATGAAGTGTCATATCTAATGTGCCACTTAAATCTTTAAGCATATTAAAAATTTGCACCCTGAGTGACATCTGAGTGTAGTCTTTATAACTTTAATACCAATTGAAGGATTAAGTTCAAATTGTATAGCTAATGCGGTAGAGACAGATAAAATCTGCTCAAGAAGAAGGGATACCATTTGACAGTTTTAGTTCAAATTGTATGGACAGCATGCACAACATATTTAAAAATAGAGTTTCCACATTAATTGTACTATAACAATCTCACTAGAATAATTTGGAAACACTAGATTTTTGTATTTAATGTAAACCAAATGGTGTTTTACACCTCTTTTTAATTATACTCCGTCTGTTTTAGGCCTCGTTAACCCTTAATGGTTTTTTGTTTTTTACACCCTCTAAAGGTTTTTGGGGTATTTATTATGACTGCATGGAAATATGTGTAAAACTTATCATAAGGGGTCAGGTGTTTTAGCACTTTGTAACATTTTGTAGCATTTATATATAACACTGTATTAATTGAATATGTTTCAGTGATAGTGATGTTCTTTGGCCTCAGGTAGCACAAAAAGTCATAATGCGATTTATATCTGGTTTGTTTTATATTTGTATTTGTATCTGAAAGGAATTGAATTAATTGAGGATTAGATGAAATTTCATGTTGATAGAATGATTATTTCTGATATAATTATTGCAAAGAATGAGCTCTGGGGACCCCAAAAACCAAAGAAAAGAAATAAACGCTGATCGGTGCAGCTATTTTCTCATTCCTTTTTGGCATTGTTGTTACTATACCTAGTTTTATTGGGAGTATTCTTTTTTCAACAAAGAGTACATAATTGTAGTGGTGTATATTTGTCATGAGCATAATTATAGCGGAGCCCAAAGTTATGTGTTCTGGAATTTGATGTCACAATTTAGAAAATGAAGATCATTACCTTAAACATATTAGCAAATAACTCTTTGTGGCAATCAATCAGCGTTGGATTTCTCAAAATACGCCAACAATCCAATATTCGTGTACTCCATGTTCGTGAAATTGAAAGATTTTCTATACCATCTCCAAATCCCCTGAATATGTCTACAACTGTATCTGCTGCATGACCTCGTAAATTAGCTGGAAACGAATAAAATGTTGAATCATTGAATACTATCAATGTTAAAGATAGAAGGCATGACGTCCTGATGAACTATCATATCACAAGCAAGGCCCAGCTGATGTCTACAGCCTTAAAGATTCTCGCAATCTTTATCCAATCAGCGTTTGCGAGTGTGTCTGCTCACATATAAAAGGCGAATCCAACTCAAATCCATGCAGGGGTGTATGAGGTACTCGAATAGGAAAGAGCTCGTGAAATCTCAATTTATATGCACATGGTCAATGTTTACACATGTTTGGAGTTATTAAAGAAAATGTGATATGGGTGTGGTTCCGAATTTGAAGTCATTGCTGGAAAATATGATTTTAATACATGAAATTATATCTGTAAATACAGCACTAAAAATAACAGTACACATGAAGTACATGTATGATGTTCAGAAATGTTTGAAACCCTTACGGAAAATTCTGTCTGCATTTTGTCACCATTGCTCTTTCTTCCCGCATTCTAGTGCTGTTTGAATGAACATATTAATTATGTATTTCTAACTAAAATATATCACATTTTTTTATAAACCACAAACATTTAGATCATAAAAAAATATTCAATACTTGAGTGAGCACGATATGCAAGGGTTACTAAGTTGACAGAGTAAATGACCACTGATATTGTGTTAGTCCATGCACACAGCGTATATTCTGCTAATACACTTTGCTAACACCCCCACTTTCATAGTGAAGTGACTAATTGGTTTATGTTTACGTTTTAATGTGTTTTGGGTTCCTTGTTACAGCAAGGGGGGCCAGTAAAGTAGACTAACATGTTTGCATGGCAAGTTTTGATCGAATATGTGAGACACTTAAGGTAATCATTATCCTGCAGTCTGGTAGTTCATGAACCCCATGGCTAAAAGTTACTTCAACATTATGCAGTTTTTGAGCATTTTGTCAAGTGATTTGGGCAAAAATTGTCTACTTTGAACCCCCTGGATTTTTTTAAAAAGTTACCCCCTGCTCTTTCTGCAAAACCTGACTACGGGTTAACAAGTGACCAGTATCTAGTGTGTTAAAGTATCTAGAGAAAGACTGTATCAAGTGTTTAAAGACAGCATAATAGTGCCAAAAAGTTACATAAACAAACTAACCTTGTATTTGCAAATGCAACTAACGCCTGGCTACCGGATTAACCTACTATTTTATGTCGAGTAACTCATTTAAACATGAATAGTACCTGCCACTATGCCGTTTATATCTAAATGAGTTGGTCATAAAATAGTAGATTAATCCGGTAGCCGACAGGCGTTAGTTGCCTTCACGAATACAAGGAAAGTTTGAATTCATGATTGCAACTAACGACAAGCGGCTACCGGATTAAGTTACTATTTTATGACTCATTTAGATATGAATAGTACAGTAGTACCTGAAACTATTCCATTCATGTTTAAGTGAGGTATTAAATCGACGATTCTGTGGACTTCTGAACTATTTGTTCGCAAACCCCGGTCGCAAACATGTACATTCTCTTAGACAAATGATACTGACATATGTTTGTTATAAAAATGTCATGGGAATTTGGCCTACAACACGTGGAATAAGAAAAAAAGAAAAATCGTACCTTCGAGGTTCCGACATTTTGTTACCGAAACAGTTCGATTCGTTTCGGTATCCAGCGTAATCGAGCGGATCACCAGTGCTATTGTTTCTACGGGAATCTATCCTAATTTCTTACAGAAATTCAACCTAAGCTTGGGCCTTAATTGAATGAAAATTACGTATTTCTAATAGAAGTGATTGTTTTTTGTCATACTGATGAGGGCCCAGAAAAAATTTTGGGCAAAAAATGTTATGCCCCAAAATATTGTAGGGCCTAAATTAGTGGGCCTTTTCGGGCATTACTTGGCCTTTTTGGGCCTTAAATTTTCAAAATTTGGGCCTAATTTTGGGATTTAGGAGCCGAAAATTGTGCCCCCTACCCTTTGTTACACTCTGGATCCGCTAGTGTGGCGTGTTAATTAATATCATACTTATAGCTTGTTATTTTACATCAAGATAAAGAAAGGTGTAATGAATATCGATTAAAACATCACAACGAGGTGTCGTTTTCGTTAACTAGCAGGTGAAAATTCCTGGGTGAAAATTCTGACAATCGAAGGTAATAAGCAAGAGCATACACTGTAATTATGTCTGTCATCTCTAAAGCTCTTGGGCTTTTCCTCCTCTCCGGGAAGAATGAGCCGGTTAGACCAAATATAAGTATTTTTAGTTCAATTTAGAACATGATGACAAATATCAAAACAATTTCAGTCACAGGATAAAAAAATGACTGCGTGCACATTTCTGTAAAAATGATGCCATTTACCTGACTTTATGATGCGATCTGCTTTAATCATGAAATCTTCTGGCTTGCAGATTCCATCAGGATGGCAAGCAAAAAGAAGTGTTGAGATTTTCCTGATCCAAATTCGTGGAATACCCTCCATCTGAAAGATCGGCATTATCCATATGTTAGTAAATGTAGAGTAAATAATACATTTAATGATTTAATTTAATGATTTATTATCATATATGTATATTAAATAAATGAACTCAGATTATTGTAGCTTACTATTACAGTTAAAATGGTGCGAAATCTTATTTTAAACGCAGAAGATTGTACTTTGGTATATAATTGAAATATCGAATGTAAAAATGTGCATGTATGTTAATGCAGAGACATAAATAATATAAATGCATAATTTATTTATGTGTGGGTACGGTAAACAACTTTTATAAAAGCAAGGCATTCAGTCAAAACGCAATGCCTTTAGCAAAACCGCATACATGCAAAGTACATGCTACGTTTCTATGCAATACCCATGCAGTAAAATTTTAACTCATAAAAACATGCAACATCCATTCAAATCCATGCAAAGCAGATTAATCCACATGCAAAGCCTATGCAGGCTCGTTGATGAGTTCCACGCAAAGTTTATGCAAAATTGAATGCATTATATGAACTATTCATTTTGTGTGAAGAATTATCGAGAAAATTTACATTTCTATAATTAAAAGTATATCTGTTTGCAAAACGCAAACCTATAAGACCCTGTATTCATGATATTAGCCCCCAAGATATTCAGAATAATATGAAAAGGATATCCAAGAATGTTCTTTGTTTAATTATCAAATTTAGAAATTTGGTCATTCTGAACTTTATTTTCCAAAATAAAGGTCATTGTATTAGCATGTATAAAATGGCCTTTTAAAGGTAGAATCACTCTTTTCACATATCTATTGTCAATCTGTTACTAGTTACTGCATACTTCTCAACCTAAAAATAATTCTTGGCTGTTTTTTTAAAAATCAGGGTTATCCCGGTTGTATATAAAAGATTCTGGCATGTTGTAATTTCTTCAAAATTCAAGATTGAAAATGAATTATGGCATCAAAAACAATTTTTTACAATCTTCAAAGTGGGTTTCTACCAGGGCACAGCACTCCAGCAAAAGTTATCCTTGATGGTCAAGAGTCTGTTTTGAGCGATGAGGATTCTATAAATGCTGGCGTTCCACAAGGCTCTATTCTTGGACCACTACTCTTTCTGATATATATAAATGATCTCCCTGAAACCTTATCAAGCAAATGCTATATTTATGCAGATGACACATCTCTATACCAACCATATTCCAAATCAAATCTCATTGAAAGTAACACAATTTTACAATCTGATCTTAATTCAATTTTCCAATGGTCCAAGACATGGAAAATGAACTTCAAGGCCTCTAAAAGCAAAGACATAATTTTCTCAAACCCAAGGAAATGTGAATATAACGTTCCTGACCTCAAAATTGGTAATGATGTTCTACCTCGAGTTGATCATCATAAACATTTAGGCCTCACTAGACAAACACCTAACTTTTACCAACACATCACAGAGCTCACCAAGAGGATTGATAAACTATTAAACCCACTTAAATCTCTAAGCAACAAATTAAATGGAAAACAACTTCAAATCGTTCATACTTCCAATTTTCGACTATTGCGATATTCTTAATATGGTTGTGCAAATATAAGTAAATTAAAATCCATTGATCAATTATACTACAAAGCAGCCTGCATTTGCTCAGGTGTACTACATGGACCATCTTCAACAAAAGTCCTTAACTGCTTAAATTGTAGAGAAATCATTCTTACATACTTTTGTACAGTTAAAACGTTTTGTTATCAATATAATATAGGCTAGACAATTTACTATCACTGGTAGGAAAATCGAAGGGATTGGTCTATAAAAAGCATCTGTGTAAAAAAAGCGTCCATTACTTATTGATCACCCCTCGTATATAGAATGCACGAGGCGTTCAAAAGCAAAAGTTTGACCTTTTAGATTTAAAAAATATGCTTGCAATGTTGTCATCAGGGAGAAATGATAACTCCCAAGATTTACTTACGGTGAACAAATACAATTGTGTGACTTGTTTACACTGTTTTATTTTAAGGGAAACCAAAATATGCAGACGAATCGAGAGTATTTTTTGAAAAAAATCGAAGTGGCTTAAAGGGTGTCCATCCACAATCCTTTCTATTCACGTATACAACATTTAGATATAAGCATAAACATAAGTTTTAATTTCACTTATGGATGAAAACTCTAATTTCTCAAAACTTTGATTGAAACATGGGCTCATGCTACCGTCCTTGCATTTATAGAAACATTGTAGTGTAGCCCTGATGCCTTCTCTGCTTTCTCCTCTGATTTGCAAACATGACCACTTTGATGGTCTCAGGTTCATACCCATGAACTAATAACTAGAAACGTGTCCTTACTATTTATTGGAAATAACAATCAATCCGATGTGATGGAGTTGCAATATTGAAGAGCGGAATTGTTCAAATGTGCAAGCTAGCTGTATTACATTTTTCACAACTCTGTATATTGGATAGCTGGATGTAAAATAATGACGGAAATCATAGTGATAACTGAAACTGAACTCTCCATTTACTCATAGGAAATAGCTTTTAATGATCTCGATCAATCTTATATTGTCAGACACAATACTGCATGGGAATATCCGGCAAGTTTTGCTTGATATGCAATAGCAAGGGAGATTGGAAACATATATGTACTATAGTAAGCAGCAGGTACTTACCATACATCGAGACCATACATCGTGATTAAGATTTGACAAACAAGAAAAGGAAGTAAGTATAAATTGTTCTTAATAAATAGTTTTCAATATCGACCCTACACTTTGCGCAGTCTAGTTATAGAGTTATTAGAAGCTCTCTTTTAAGAAGCGAAGTCGAACGAATGCAAAGGGTATCGACTCAAACACGACAGATACAACAATCGGGGTTAATACTGATGGATCTAGGAGTTAGTTCTGGGCAAAAAAGTTATGGATATTTAAAGTAGACTTCATTTTCAAAAATAGGCTGGTGAGAATGGGCATTTTTGGAAAAATGACCCCCAACATTTGAAAAGCAGGCGTCGTATTTTGAAAACTTGTTCCAAAGTGTTGCGCCCTTAGCCCTTGTCAATTTTCCGTAAGTGCTTCCCTAGGCTTTGTATTATTGAACGGCTAACTTGTGATAGTAATGATTGTCCAATTATGATTGTACGAAATGGCTTGTGCACAGAGTAGATAGGTCAAACTTAACTTGTCTCTGTTACTATTGTATGGATTATCTGATTATTCGGCCGCCGATGGTAATTCATCAGAACTGTGTTAATTGTAATGAGTAGATGTGCCAATATGTAAATGATGTTTTGCATGAAACATTCTTATCAATGAGGATGAAATATCCTCGACAATTTTCTGTCAGTAATACCATAGGTTTTCATGAGTTGAAAGTCCATGGTAATACGTTATGCCTTCTCTAGTATTGTAGTATCACATCTTGGAAATAACACTATTACCACTGGTCAGTATCGAGATGCGGTAACGGCCGTTACCTTCTCATCTAAGATGGCGGACGGAAAGTGTCGATTTCGATATTTTTGGTTTTCGTCGAAATAAACTACTTTATAATTGACGTAATCCTTAGATATTTGAACTTGATGAGCCTTACATATTATGGAAACTTTGGAGTTTGACCATTTGTTCGTAAATCATACGTGGACGCAATAATTCAACTATATGTCACACCGCTTAAGGGAACAAGGTAACTGGAAGTGCATGATACGATAACTGACACGTCTGTTTCCAAGATGATGCGGTTATTGTATGGAACTAATAATAGATATCGTTTTGTTTCAGACCAAAATGATGCACTTCGCTATAATGTGCGCTATAATGTCAATTATAAAGTAGTTTAATTCGACGAAAACCAAAATATCGAAATCGACACTTTCCGTCCACCATCTTAGATGAAAAGGTAACGGCCGTTACCGCATCTTGATACTGACCAGTGTATTACGGCCCATGGCGATAGCCGCGCCTCCTTTGTCTTTATCCTTCTCTCGCAGAGGACAGATAAGAGGGACTCTGGCACACCAGAATGATCAAGGCCCATTGAATGTAGACTACTTTAAGATTTTGCATGGAACACCTAATTGCTTCTTATTACTGCCTTTGGGTGTTTCATTCAGTGGGACTTGATCATTTTGACCAATTCGAGTAGGAAGATAATAAGCCGCCTGTCCGTCCGTCTGTTCAAGCACAGTTCGAAAATGGTAATTAGGAGTATCGGAGAACAAGACCAATTCTCCAAAATGGTCATCTTACATACAACATGCTCTGGACATCATTCATCCACTCTGTTACTTCATTGGAGGACAACTGAAGTTGCATTTGGAGAATGGCACCATACCATAAGAAGTGTCAGGTTTTAATAATCTTCGGATATTGAGTCATTTTATCATATTACTAGGTTTGTGAATGATAGAACTAAATCTAAAGAAATATCTTGGACCAACCTTAGCATCATTCGTGGTGGGAATAAAAAATCATTAAATGTTGAATATTGTGCTGATTTGATAACATGTTTTAACAATAGCGTGCAATCATTCTGCAACAAATAGTCTATCTAATGGCTTACTGATGTCCTCATCTACTGTGAAGTGAATATATTGATCGCTTTTTAGTACCAGTTACTCATCTATTCTCACTTGGTTTTTCTTGTCAGATGAGTTTAAACACAAAAACAGACATTCAACAATTGATATCATTATTGAACAAGCACTGTCTACTTTATTTGATCCAATAAGTCTCGGATGCTTTTAATTTGGTCTATTGATACATGAAATGTCAAGATCTATTTCTCACAGAATTGATCTCAATATTATCACCAATGTTCCTCGTAGTATGAAACATTTGGGGATTACTTGAAGAGGCATGATATATGATCGTAATCCTATAGTTTTCATTGAGAAATTTCTTTAAATAGACTAGATGCGAGTAGAAATAATCTTGATTTACGTCTTTAAATATCCAAAATTCAGTCAAAGCGATGTCATATTTGAAATCTGCATGTAAAAGTACATCTAGAAATATGGTTTCGAGAATTGTCTATCAACTTTGAAAATTTAAAATTTACAAAATCACAAAACGTGAATTATCTTTTTTTGTATTGGACAGATAACATTTTCTTTTACTGGACATATTTTGATTTGCATAACTATTAGATACATAAGGGTTATATGAAAATTGAACAACTAAAACAAATGTCATTTAAGTTAAAGGATACTTTCGACTATACCCGCCATGTTATCTGACCCGAACGAGCTACCTGGTGGCGAATCTGGTAACTACCTACTCGCATCTGCGTTATTAGCCTATATTTTATTGCAGTCTGGGTGAATTTGTCCTGTTGTTGTTCCTTTTCGATTCCTTGTCATCACGTTTTAATTATTTTTTTATCTGTGAGTTTAAGAGTTTGTCTTCGTACTAGCTATTTCGTTCTTATAGTACCAATGCAAATGATAACTGCAAACATAACCTATATGATACAGGGTGACCCCTGAAATTTTTTATTTTGTGATAACTTTTTTTTAATGCATACATTGGTGGAGATGCATGATTCAATTGTTCCTGAAATGCAACTAATGAATCTTCAGCGGTGTTTGAATAAGAAGGGTTAATAAACACTGGTAGGCCGAATTCTGGGTGAAAATTATGTTAAAAAACAACAACATTTACAACAAGTTCTTAAATGCGTGGGCTGAGTACGCCCAGATTTTCCAAAATCACACTTTTCTTGATGCTGCGTCAGCTTTTATCTTAATTTTATTTGTCTGATCTAATAATTGATACTTCTAATAATCAATCTTTTGTCTGAAAGTTATTTCAGAATATACTTAACACCCAACCCTATGTGTTTCTCCGAAAGAAAGAATATACGTCAATGTGGATAGGCATAACCAGACTATTATCAGTGTATAATGATTACAATTCTTATCTAACAATACCCCTTCCATACCTATTTTTCAAACCACCCTTTGTGCATTTGTAATATTTATTGCTGTATTCCCTGTAGTGTTAATGTATCGATTCCGTTGCATTGATTGCAAAAATGTCACATTCTTTTGAAATAACCAACTTTTATTATAAGAGCATGATTTGCTGAAAGATATAACCGTTTGACCAACGCAATAAGTCGTTGTTGGCTCACATGGTGAGCTATTGTAATCACTCACTTGTCTGTCCGTCTGTCACGTTTGAAAAACTCTGTTGATAGGACTTAAGTTATGTTTGTTCAACATCAATACAGAACCCCCCCCCCCCCCCCCTATGATTCGTGGTTCAAAAGCTCGCCTATTTTCAAAATGGCCTGCATTTTTGTCGCGCAAAGTTCACTTTTGGACCATTGATAGCTTTATAAATAATTCCAGGTGTCTTGCATTATTAAAATCCATGTCAATGTAAAGAGTAGTTGTATGAAATAATTTTGTAACAAAAATTTGCCAAAAAAAGTAATTGGAATATTTAATCTCAATAAGCGTTCATAGTTTTCATTAATTTTTTAAGACTGACAGTCACATGGTATGATTTAATATAGCGATTTTCATCCGTCGCAGGGGTAATCAACGTTGGTTGGTTGAGTTCTGGACATTTCGTTCAGAGGCCCTAAAATTATGTTCATCTATATACACCATAGGTTTCAGTAATAGCTTCAGTTTGTTAGTGTTGCTTTATCTGTCTCGTCAACAAATATAATTATTCCTAATACAGTGTAATTACCACGCATATTGTATGTACATTACATGGGAAAGTTCAATTAGCTATAATTAATGGGAACCTGGTCTTAAAATTGCCTAGACTAAGTTAATTAGACACAGGGGTTATCATAACATTGGAAATAATCTGATTAGTCCAAGCGAAGTAGGCATTTTCCGTATGTAAATGAAAGGAAATATCACTTCAAATTGAGGGATTTCTTGAGATTGTGCGTTAAGCTGTATTACTTACAGTATGCAGCTCTGCAATGTCAAGTCAATCATGCAATATTTGCTGTGATTTGTTCTTATCATAGGATATTATATTTATGAAGGCATATAGGGAATATTGTGTTATGACTAGAAGCATAGGAGTTGTCATAACATTGTGAATATTAAGCAAGATATTCAGTTCTAAATTACAGAACAGCGTGGTAAGTCGTTTTTTGATGCTCGGACATTACATCTTTCTGTTTTTAAACCAGAGACGGACCTGGAGACGGACTACATGTAAATAAAAAGGACGTGATTTCTCATGATGGTTGTATATGGAAGTATGCCCGTATGCTTGTTTAGAACAAAATGATGTTCGAATTGTTATAGGTTTTCACAGAATGTTAGTCTAAGCATGGGCTTTCAATTTGAAAGCCCATGGTCTAAGTCATACGGTAAGGTAAATTGCCATGACATGACGCAGAGCACAATGTGAACAGTACAATAGGCGAACTGCCGATGAAACAGCGGCTTATGCAACACAACAACAATGACGATATAGAAAACTTGTAATAAAAAATGAAATAGGTTAATTTTTTAAACATGTGAATATTTACATGAGGGTATTAGGGTATGCAACTCTGTGTTATAAACATGAGAACTTCAAAATGAGCAGTGTCATCCTTACCTTTTTTTGATAATATTTCAAAGAGTTTTAGATAGATGTATATGTTTTAATATTATCTTAAAGAAAATCAATTTTGAATATGATTAAAGCATAAAACATGTTTAATCTCATTTAAAAGTAAACAAAAAACGATAAGAAAAAGAGGTATCAAAATGATCTTTTCAAATGTTACTGTGACTATTTGTGGGAGAATGCTCACTTTCATTATTGCCATAATCATGAAGAATTCCATTTCATATTAAATTATCAACATGTATGCACACAGTCATGTTTTTATTTTTGAGATATTTCTTAAATCATACAAAAAAGTACAAAATAGATTTTTCTTGGAATGTGTACAGGAGGCATGCATTTTCTCTCTAATTATGAAAACCCAAAGCAATACTTATGTATGAAATATGGGAAGTTGCAAATCCTTTGTTGAAGCCCATGCTTCTACTAATGAGATTCCATGCAGGGATTATTAATCAATTTCAATTATTTGAATAAGATTATTTGATATATTGCTAGCTTTATCTACGTATAATAATCATTACTACTTGCCTTCAGGGTCTCATGATTTTCTGTAATCATACTGCATTATGCTTTCAATTATCTACAGTAGAACTTATCGACACATTAAGAGTATTAGGTGATACCAAATCAATCCCTTGAAGGTGGTTGAATTTTTTGCTTAATAATGCACTAGAATGGTAAGTTCTGTTTGTGAACTACCTGTAAGTAGTAATCAGACAATCTGAAGGATGCCAGGAAGATTTTCCTGAAACTGAATTCGTTAATGAAGGTTCGGATGTCATAATAACAAAGGGCTAATATGCGATTTTTACATAAATGCTCTTTTCTCTACCAAAATGGTTTTAAATAGTGATTGATTTTGTAGTATCTTTTTACCGACTCCTCTCGTCTGAACGCAGTGAGACCGAATGTGCGAAGATGTTTATAGCATCGTGTAAAAAATCAGGTTATCTTTTTTAAACCAGTCATTGGAAAAGGGGAATGTTACTTTTTGTATGGCCATTCTTTCATATTAGGAGAAAGGGTACTCTGCGTGCAGAGTCTAGTTAAACTACAAGACGAAGCTCTCTGTTAAGAAGTGAAGTCAAACGAATGCAAAGGGTAGAGAACCCGGGGTAGAGAAAAGGCTTCATTTCAAGAAGAAATCGTGTTTCTTATCAAATAAGGCAAATTGGACGTTCTATAGTGATGGAATATAGAACGTGATTGTTGTAGATATGCAAAATGTCATATTGGCAATATGCGTGACTTTTCTCATAAAATACAATATTCTAGCATTATTAACGCCAAGGGATATCTAATAACAAACTGGATGATTTCAATAGATTGTATCGTATGTGTTCTGTACTTAGATTAGGTTTGTTGTATTATTGTATTACAAAGGAAACATCGTAATGGAAATGCATAATAAGAAAAATGAATGATTGATTTTTTAGATGATAGCAAAGAGAGGCAAAGCTGGAATTTAACCTCAACCATCACCAGAGATTATCGCATTCAGAATGATGTAAGTTTTCTCCCGGGAGTTTTCTTGAAACCTTTTGTTGAGTATAACTATATATGAATATGGGCTAAAATGAAAATTGGATTTAAAGATGAACAAATTCAATGAACAAATTCACAAAAATTGAAATTTATTATTTAAGTAAACATTTCAATTTGGTAGCTAATTTCGGGTCATTAAGATCTATAATCAGAACTAATTAAAATTGTATGATTATCTATCCAGTATTATGTGTATACTAGAATGTGTATTTTTATGTGATAGATATATGTTTGATCAAGAGTTGAAAGGTGACACTTATACAGGTAACATTCAACATTTTGCCTCTTCTATTGACAGGTAGAACTTAGAACTAAAATATTGGATTAAACAAACAATTCAGATTTGTGCAAACATTCTGTACTTTCATGCCATACATGTTCAACCAGTTATTTCACACAGGTATTTATTTCGATGTGTTGGGTCATATTTATTTACCAACGGGGTTATTGATTATTTTAAGTCCTTAATTCATATATCACAGACTATGCCCTGTATATTCATAGGTAAGTAAGGGGTATGGAAGCTAAAATTAAATCTACTTTTCCATAGAGGTCCATGTTTTCTCTGATCACACTTACATGTATGATCTGTCGTGTTACGAAGGAAGGCAGACGAGAATTGTGAGGGGGTATTAACACAGGAGTATATAGGCCTAGTGCTAAGTTAGTAGAAATAAAATGGGGGTAGTGCTCCACAAGCCATGCTCCACAACAATATGTTACTAAATAAATACACGGGGATAAAGCAGATACGATGATACAGTGAGCATTAGGGATCCATGCTGAGCTGAGCATACCACCGAGCTCGCTTGCATTAAGCCCCGTGACACAGTCGTGGTACCGTCGAGCAAGCACATGGTATCATCGGGCCTGCTTAACCCCCGTGAAATATAACCACACGATAGCAACATGAAAGGTTTGATTAAGCAGTATACTCTTCTATGCTTCCAGGTTCCCCGAGTGATGTACAGGTATGTGAAGACAACCATCTGCAGATTGGCAGCCTAGTTGGCGACCAACCATCAACACAGGATATCACCAGCATATTATCAATAGTGAAGGTGATAGATGAACATATAGCATCTTATGGAAAAATCTGAATAATTCAACAAGGCACAAAAACACGTATACTGTACTAAGTCTGAATGTAGGTCAAACGACAATAACGTGTTTTAACTCACGGTGCAACAAGATGTTATCTCTTGCATTGTACATCCTGGCGGTTCTTGTTGGATTGATCCTCATTTGGTTTTTTGATCCTCATGAGAAAGAGAAAAATGACACTGATTTTGTGGAAGGACGTGCAAACCGTAAAGCACGTCACGACTATCGCCAAAGCAGTATATTCGCAGTCCTGGGATTAAGTCGAGAAGAAATCTTACATTTTACAGCATTCCGTGATCACTTTCATAGCTTTGAGGAGGTTATTGGAGCGTGCAAGAGAGCCGGTTTGGAAAAAAGTCACCTGATCATTGGTGTTGATTTTACGGCAAGTAACGAATGGCAGGGGAGAAAAACATTCAGTGGGAACTGCCTTCATAAAATTTCCGGCTCCAGAATCTCTAATCCATACCAGAAAGTGATAAGCATATTAGGACAAACGATCTCCGCTTTTGACGATGATTCGCTCATCCCAGCTTATGGGTTTGGGGACGTCATGACTCAAGACCAAGATGTGTTCCCATTTAAGCCAGACAGTTCCTCGTGCCAGGACTTTCATGAAGTTTTGGAGTATTACAATGATATCGCAAGAACTGTTACCCTAGGGGGCCCTACCAATTTTGCCCCTTTAATCTATCGTGCCATGGACATTGTGAGAGACACCGAGGAGTACCACATTTTAGTGATCATTGCGGATGGTCAGGTCACCGAAGAGGACCATACAATACAAGCCATTGTAAAGGCAAGTCTTTGTGCTTTGAGTATAATTGTGGTCGGAGTTGGTGATGGACCATGGGAAATCATGGAAGAATTTGACGATCGTCTTCCAAGGCGAAAATTTGATAATTTCCAGTTTATTGATTATCATAAAATTACCCATAAGGCTAAGAATCCTGAGACAGCACTTGCACTTCATGCGATGATGGAAATTCCAGATCAGTATAAAGCAATCAAACAATTGGGATATTTACAGAATTTGCGAGAGAACACAGACCTGGTACATTAACAAGTGGTCTCCCCAAAGTTTCGGGTGCAAGTAGTTGCTATTGAAATTGTATACTACACAATAAATTAGTCAAACTGAAAGTGGCACATATCAAATCATAAAATGCCCTTTTCACATCAAAGCTGCAAAACCTTTTTAAAGTCTTTATAACTTAAATTATTGTATTGTGGTAACCCACCAAGAAACCCATGATCAAATCATACACCAAGTTCATTCTTGATCTCAATCTGCATGTACGTAGTTGAGCATTTTATGTATTCACTATATGCTAATGTAACACGATTATGTTGTCTTGAGGTTTATAATCTTGCTATTATATTGATGAGGATTCATATCAGATAGCCTGATAGTTGTTGTTTCTATTGCCATGGTGCATCAGATAGAAATGCTTTATGTTATAGGCATTAGGATCTCATCCACGTGCCTTCATTTATTTATCTGAGTATGGTAAGTCTGATAATCCATGATAATGGTATATATCGCCGTGGTAATAGTTATAGTATTGCATCCCATAGCAATACAATATGTTGCCATGATAACATCACGTTACATCAAAATATTTTATTCTTTAAATGTTATTTTTAAAGAATAAAGGATATTCTAAAATTAAGTAATTTAATGATTGATTAATAATTTTAATTATTTTTAAATCTCTTAAATACTATATTCTAGCATGGGCTTTCAACCCGTAATTCTAGTAATCAAGGCATTACTACTAACATGCAAAATGTCACCATCTGCCATTTATTACAGACGCCGACCACCGAAAGCCAAACGCCTACCGTCGTCTAAATAAGTTTGAGACTATCACAAAAAGTCACCACTTGTTTTGACATAAACACCTGAGGTGGTTTTGACTTTTCTGATACATATCAATTTGTACTCTGAACCGTTACCTCTGTAGAACTTGTAACTAATCATTGACTGAAGGGGGGCTCTTAGGCCGATTGGAAATGTTCTGGAATATCCCAAATTAAACAGCATCGAATCGAGTAAAACTAGAAAATTGCAACTCAACGGAGTAACAAATCCGAACAAACAAATTACTTATGAATCTGAAAACATAATATTTCAGTGTAATATAGCCATCTCCTTTATTGAGAATTCTCGCGTTATGTAGCTATTTTGTTCTGCAAGCACCAATAAGTGAAATGAAACAATTGTGATTTACTCTAAAATGAAATACCTTTAATTTAGCATAATGCACCCATACTTTACAGAGATCTTGGAAAAATATTTTTCCAAGTAAAACTATTCACCAATCAAATCATCCATACACTAGTATGCGTTATTTTCCGCACAGGCTGACGGATGGATTGAGGGCTTTTCTGTCCGTTACAAACTCTGTTCGTTGGGATAATTACAGAATTCATACATGATTGGACAATCTGTTTCATAGACAAAAAAACAATTTCTCCAAAACGAGGAAAAGGATGAGCTGGGACTAGTGGTGAATGGCAATAATAATCTACGCACCTTAATGGACATTTTTTGCCGAAACAATATCTATGAGTAAATATGAAAGTAAAGTTAACGTTTTAGTAAAATGTTAATGTTACTGTGGTGTCATCATTTCAACAATGTGTTACCATGCAAAATGTCACCGCCTGCCATTTGTTACAGACGCCGATCACAAACAGTGCTACAGATGCCAAACACCAAACACAGTCCATAAAAATGTTGAAGACAAAAGAGAAAATGAACAACTAATATGAACCTATGAACTTATAAAATCTCCTAAATATCAACGACGTCTATCTCGATAGACGTCCTTGTAAATATTAAACAATTTCAACCAAAATGCTTATCATTCCCTTGACTGTTCCAGAATATTAATTGGTTTGAACTTTTGACAAGGCCAGTCAGTCCCATTCACCCAATGGTCATCCTTTTTCATATATTAACAATTAAGAATTAGTTCAGTGTTCATCTTTAATGATATATTTGCATAAAATGAACTACACCATGTCTAACTGTTATAATCATATTCAATAGTTGGTTATTTACACTACAGTATGTTTTATGATTTATGTATACCCATGCATATAAATAAATATATATATATAACATTTTTAAAAAATAATAAAATTCAACAAATATTGGAATTAACTCTATGGTACACTGTAAGAGAATGTCCAACTGTCTCAAAATGGAGTAGTTCTATTGAGGACACAAATAAACTTCTTCGATAAATCCTAGAATAGAATTTAATCCTACAGTATATCTGCCATGATGTATGAATGACGTCACAATCAACCAATAGGAGACACTGATTTACTGGATTGTTCCATTGCGCTATCATCATTTCCTTACATTGTACTATAGAGTGAAAAAATACATTTTCACAAAATGGCACAAATGATCATATATCTGTCACATCATATTCATTTTAATGATTGATACATTTTTCTATATGATTCAACATATAAATATCTGATGTGACATATGCACAAATGATGTGAACACATGATGTGACATAAGAACACATGATGGGACATGTGAACATCTGATTTGACATAAACATATGACATGACATGTAAACATATGATGTAAGATTTAAATAATGTGTCACATAAACATGTAATGTTTCATGTAAACATGTAATGTCACATGTATGATGTGACATAAACATATGATCAATGCCATTTAAATCAATGATAACTTCAGTTCTGTTTTACAACTTTATGAATATGTCCATCTTTATCTAAATTCAATGTAAACAATGTTATTTAAATTAAATCTAATCTTAACTCAAAATAATGAATGTTATAAAATTAGAAGGCCTCAAAATGTTTATTTTCAGGATTTTATCTGAAAAACTTCTTCCACACCGTCCTTTGATTGCCATTGGCTAATAATAAATTAACAATTTTAAGTATTTTGGAACTGCTTGGAATGGTATTTTTTATAAAAATTGCATTCCATTGAGCAAAAATTAACAATACATTGTACATTGTACATAAACAGTTCATTGTAATTTAATTATTATGAGTAAAATTAATTCTGTTATCTTGAAACAGCATATATTTTATTCTATAAATTCGTCATTCTGTTTATTATTGTTATTCAAATATAGTCTATCTCTTAAAAGAAATTAAACTATGAGATGGATTATATTTGAATCAATAGCATATTTCATGTCCAATGCCCCACATATTAGAAGCACAATTGCAAATAATAGGCCTAGTTTTATTTTAACACTAGGATCTTGGTATTAATTGAACTTGGGATATCAGGCTTTTTTGACACTATATAATTTCTGAGTTGCATAGATCAGATAATACGGAAATACATTCGTCAATTATATAAGTATTCTTTCTGTACATACATATTCAACAATAAAGCCTTGAAATCACCCTAATAATCCCATATTACAATATTCATATACCAGGTGTGTAACAGCTACAGGGTGATAATTTAATAAGTACAGGGTGAACACTTCATAACTACAGGGTGATCAGATTATTTTCTGAAACACCCTTTAGAATCACAAGATTAGGAATAACATATACATGAATCTGATAAAACTCAGTTCAAGAGGCTAAACATCACAAATACCACTACTTTTATCACTAAAATCTAGCTTTATTTGTATATCGTCACTATGAATTTGTAAGTTTAAGGCTGCTTTAATAAGCAGAGCTATGCTGTTCATCCCTGACAAAACATACTTTGGTAGAATCAGCCCATGGTAGAATCAAGACTTACAGTATTCATTACAAAAATTCACACCCTTTTGCCATCTGGAAAATATCTGAAATTACACGATATAGTAAAGTGTTTATTGCAATTTTTTTCTGAAGTAAACAAAGCTATCATTTATTCAGTGTACACCATATTTGAACAGAGCTATTATAGATTCAGCATCTATCACAATATTGCTTTAATTACTTGTTCATGAAATGCCATACTAGTCATACTTTATCCAGGCTTAAATTGAGCGGTTATATTTCCATCCTTACAATGTGGCTGCCAAGATATCGGTTCAACCAGAACATTGGCCTACTAGATGCTGTTTCACTCCTTGTAACATCTTTTGACATCGGGAAAGTACATTTCACTTCTAGTATTAGTGATCAAGGAGAATTGGCTCCCAGGGTTCCATCTCAATATTTTTCTATATGTCATGTCATGATTCTTAATATTATTTCCAAACAAAAATTTTCAAAACACACAAGAAGTGATCAAGGTATTAGTTTAAATCTTTTGGATCGCTGATTATGAATTTATAGTCAGTTATAATGACAGAAAATAACAACATTTTCAATGTTGATACCAATCAAGGTCAAGGTTGAATATCAAGTTGGAGACCTGAGAGCGAATCTTTCTTGCATAGTAATTATACATTTCATTCCCTGTAAGATTCCTCATAAATTCCCCCAATTTCCACTCTTGCTTCAAAAGCATGACCAGCTTGTCATTCCACAGAACTCTATCTCTAGTTTACCTTCATCTTCACTGTAACAATTGCATTATTTAAAAATTGACTAGTTTCAACTGTGATCATTCAGTTTTCCAGTGCTTGTTGAAAAGTTCCATGAATGAATCATAAATCATGAATGTGATAGCGACATCTAGACAGACTCTGCTCAACCTTGGAAGTGTTCCCTTATAGAATCTGCAAAATAAATGAAGCAGCTGAGAATATGGTACGGGTTACATGGCACTAACATGACAAAATATGTGTACATCGTGGTGAGTTATGTGAACGGTTTGCGAATGGTTAACGATTTGTTACAGGTGCCAACAGCTGCATCAACTACTGAATCTAAGAACTAAGCCTAATGATAAAGCAAACTATAGATTTTTCCAACGAGATTCATGGAGAAAATAAACTTCTAGGCCTAAAGAAAATAATTCAATGAAAAACAATAAAATTAAACTTGCTAGAGGTCTGATATAACGTATGTCAATGAGCTGATGTCAGAATACATTTATCTAGATTTTAAAAGTGCTGAGTCTCAGACAATGATAACTCACGCTCTTGGTCCCTCGTTCTTCATGATCTTCACAGCACAATCTACAGTGTTCTTGTACTTTGCTGCCTCAAGCCCCTGAAACATGAACAAATCATATTAAACTAGAAGAACAATTAACAAATGGTAGCCCACAAAGCTAGACTTTTGTGGCCCCATTTAAGTAATTTTAGCCTTTTGAGAAAGTAGGCATTTTGGTAGAATGGTCCTCAATTTTTGAAAAATAAACCCAAATTTTCTAATAGGGGCCTAAACTGAATAATGCACAAAAATTTTGGCCCTCGTATCCCCTGTTGATTTTCTGCTCTACCCTTTATCATATCACTTTCAATAAGTTGAATTCAGCAAGCAGAAGTTATTGGGACTAAACATATTTTACAGCTTTGATATATAATCAGTTTTAGACAAAATATAATACCAGGTGATTCAAGTCACAGGTGATTCAAAAATATGCCAGAAAAAAATTCACCATTATTAAGTAACTACAGTCACGGGCATGTTACTAACCTGCATGCGAGTTTTCACGACATCTAACGGGGTGTTACCGAACACAGATGCTGCCCCTGCAACTGCCCCAAAGCAGCCTACCAATAATTTTGGTATGGGTTTAGTATTGTCACCTCCCCGGTAGTATTCCTTTAAGGACTCTACTACATAGAAACGTATTGCTTGATTGGACCCTTGTTTCATTATTGTAGGAGTTAAGCCCTGATAGACGCCTCTAATACCTGTAATGTTAATAAAGACATGTTGAGGCTGTATGGAATAAATTGGTAGCTACATTCAGCTAGATTGGAAATGTGAGGGAATTAGAGAATTTCTTCAAAAAAGGCTGAAATGGTCAGATAATTATAAAACTATAATGCAGTATGTGAACATGTATGTCTCCTTCCAGTTCTCATTGACGGGAAGCAATAAAGATTCATGTGCAGTATGGCAAGTCATTTTAGACAGTCATATCTTTCACCATGGGTACTTTCTGGCCATCAATACAGTTGTTTTTATTAAAACAATATGCTTTCTTTCAAGTGAAGTCACATGGACCTTTGTTTGTGGAATTTCACCCTGGCAAAAAGGACCTCAATGGTCTTAAGTTAAAATAATAAGGTGCACATCCAAGAGATGTTCAATCAATAGTTTTTGATGAGCAAGGAGGATTGGCTCCCAGAGTGCAACATCGATATTCTGTCCCATATACAGAATTTGAATTCAAACAGCCGCCATTTTGTTCACTTCAACATTTGAATCGTGAATTTTGGTCTTATTCCTAAACGAAAAATTCCAAAGCTCACAAGAAATGATCGAGATATTGGTTCGAATCTTTGGACTGTCTGTTTTGAATTCATAGTCGGTAATAATTTCAGAAAATTTTGGAAAATATCGATTGTCGATCCTGGAGCCAATCTTCCTTGTGATGAGTAACTTTCAAATATAATGAGGTATTTACCCTGTTGTTTAACTATGGTCCCAACACCATGGAAGAACCCTCTAAACTGGGGATTAGCTGATCTTTGGTCATTGATGAATTTCACTTTTACAGTCTCCATGGGAGTCACAGCAAATATGGCCTCACACACACCAGCACCTAGAAACAGGGAGATATTATCATTATCACATTTTAAGTAGAAATACTGAGCTGTGATTGGTCAAATCACGTCAAATGGACATTAGATAATTTTCGATATCATACACCATAATATCTTTTTGTTTTCGATTATAAATATTCATTTGTAATGGTATTTTTTAAATTATTTATTATAAAATGAAAACACATTGAAATAATTTATTGTATTTCTATTTGTTTATTTGTGTTTTGTAAGTTCTATTTAGAACTGTATTTCATATACATGCAGTGTATGCCCTATAAAGGATCTGAGAGCCGCTGGTCAAAATGGCATAACCGGGGGCATAACGGACAAGTTGAAATGTTATTTTTCTATACCTAGGGAAAAAATCAACTGGTCTGTGTCAAAAGTAACCTGGTAATTACCAGTGGATTGGCCCTTATGGCATTCACTGTTTACACTAATGGCATACACTGTTTACACTTATGGCATACACTGTTTACACTTATGGCATACACTGTTTACACTTATGGCATACACTGTTTACACTTATGGCATACACTGTTTACACTTATGGCATACACTGTTTACATGTCCATGTATTTTTAACCAATGTCAATATGGAAGATATAACTATCGCAACTTACCAAGGCCACATAAAAGTTTTTTTGATGTGGACAGATTTCCTGAAGCATCTACATTTCTTTTTTTAAATTCTTCAAATGAGCCAAACCTACAACATAAGAATGAATTACTTTATTGTGGGTATATAGAGATGTAAAAACTTGATAAAAATTGATAAAAATCTTGTTGTTACTGTATGCATAATATTAGAATTTATAATTGTATGTGCAAGTTATAGCACCTGTACTTAATGCATACTCAATTCCTGCACTCAACGGTGATTTTAAAGACTATGTGAAACCTTGCACTCATTTGACAAACCTTGCACTCAGTTGACAAACCTAGCACTCAGTTGAGAAAGCTTGTACTCAGTTTGAGAAAGATTGCACTTCATATTGCAAAACCATGTAAATGTACAGTAAAACATATGCCTTTGTCAGTAGAACATATCTATATATATACATACAACACTTTAAACTCCCATTTTTCATTAAAATAATATATTCTGTTATAAATGAACCATATGTATCTGAAACACTTCCGCAATGGAATACTATTTTGAGGTTCCAAAGGTGCTCTACTTCCTCATGCAGATGTTCCCATTCTGGAGTATCCCCATAAATGTGAGCCTGATTTGCATTTTTGACATTTTTGAGCAAATCAACCCTCATATTAATGTTATGGAGGTGTTCCACTGAAGGGGTGTTTCACTTATACAGGTCTAACTGTATACTGTACCTGACTGCTGATTTTGGAATGCTGCCATATAACAAAACACTGAGACCTCTATACAATCCCAATACACCACGCTCCTTTACAGTGACGCGGACACAATCGAAGATCCCCTTGTAGCGCTTTTGTGCACCTTTCTCGTCCAATTGTAACTGAGTTTTGACATATTCTGTCGGGAATGTGATGCATATTTCAATACCTCCTGTGATACCACCTGAAATGAGTTATGAGAATTATGTGTAATGACTTGAGTATAAACTGGTTTGAGTAATGTACTGGTTTGAGTAATGTACTTGTTTGAGTACAAAATAGGCAACGAATTGAGTAGTTTATTGGACAAAGTTATTAATATGAGATATATTCAAGAACTAATACAGTGACTGAAATACTTTTTTCAGATTCAGAAATAACAAAAATACCATGACTTGAGTAAATTGGTTGATGGATTCATTAACTTGAGATTTACTGAGTTGATTAGCATATTTTTAAAATAATTTGAGTACTTATTAAAATAATTTGAGTACTTATTTGAGTTTCTCAAAGACAATTTTGATACAATTTCTAACTTGAGCATCTAAGTATGTATACTTAGACAAATTATGTATATGAATTTATGAAATTAATATGAAATATAAAGATAACATAATATTAATATAATATTAGCCTAACAATAACAGCAAAACAGCTTTAACTATGTTAAGCATATACGTATGTAACTTGCTACATTCAATGTAAAACAATCTGAAAATAAGTATCTGAAAATGAAAATGAATGGTTAGTTCAAGCATAGTCTAAAAAATATTAGTAAATCAATAGCAAACAAGTCAATGTTATATGTTAAGCAGTTTTATTAATTTTCAACAAATATTTTCAAACAGTGCATGACTTATAGAACATTCGCACATAGAGCTAGGCATGATATATCAATATCCAGCCAATCAGAACACAGTATTTGATAAGAATATCGAAATGTTGGTTGAATTTTGTTCTTTAAGTGATTCTGTACAATGTAAATGCAGAACTGTGTTTTGCAATATGTGAAAGGAATCAAGCACATGGCTCTATGAATTGTGATCTAACACGGCACTCTTGTATCCAAGTCAAGTGTATCCTAGCCTTTGAATCTGGGCTACGTATCCCATTCAAAGTTCAATACAAGACATTTATGCTTCATATACAATTCATTGAGCCCTGAGCTAAATTCCACTAAACAATCCTTAATTAAAAAAAAGATTTCATCATCAAACTTGATCACTTCAAAGACAAATACAGTACATTGGCTCAAGAGATGGCAGATCTCAGAAATCAAGAATTTTTGTATGTAATAATTTTACACTGCCCTATAATTGGCCAAAGATATTGCAGATTCATGGTAAAAATAGAGATTCTACATATATGTAATGTTAAGAAGTGATCAATTCTGATTGGAGTTGTCAGTGATACTAACTAAAAAAGTATCATCCAAAATGCCAAACAGTATATCAGATCCCTATTTCCTTACTCTCCTTTAATTCAAACCTTTACAAGGAGAACAAATTGCAGGGAGTAAATAACAGGGATTTGATAGATGGCGCTTTAAACATATTTGCCAGACGCTAAAAGCAGATGCATCCAAGCAGGTATGGTTTACAACTTCACTGTCTTGAATCTTTATATAAAATCTGACCCCTCCCTCTTGACAATCAATTTTCCCAATATTTCAAATACAAGCTTAAATGTGAAATGAGTGATTATGAGAAAAAAAGCAGGGATGGCGCCTAATATTCAACAGATGTGGAAAATCAAAGATAATTTCATTGTGGCTTTACCTTCAACAAAATAATGACATATGAAAATGTTGATTGTTTATCAAATGAATTTTTAAAAAATCAACACTTCACTTATATGAAATCATAATTTACTCCCTTACAAAGTTTACTTCATAATTCCACAAGGGTTGATAAGAAGACATCATTTATTAGGGATGGTGTCTTATTATCAACTGTTGTGGAATAAGGAGGCTAGCTTTGTTACCTGTATGGTACCTTCTAAACTAAACATAGGAGGCTAGCTTTGTTAGGGGAGGGGGCAATTCATGGTTTTCTTATTAGGGGAGGGGGCAATTCATGGTTTTCTTATTAGGGGAGGGTGCAATTCATGGTTTTCTTATTAGGGGAGGGGGCAATTCATGGTTTTCTTATTAGGGGAGGGGGCAATTCATGGTTTTCTTATTAGGGGATTCATGGTTTTCATATTAGGGGAGGGGGCAAGTCATGGTTTTCTTATTAGGGGAGGGGGCAATTCATGGTTTTCTTATTAGGGGATTCATGGTTTTCTTATTAGGGGAGGGGGCAATTCATGGTTTTCTTATTAGGGGAGGGGGCAATTCATGGTTTCCTTATTAGGGGAGGGGGCAATTCATGGTTTTCTTATTAGGGGAGGGGGTAATTCATGGTTTTCTTATTAGGGGAGGGTGCAATTCATGGTTTTCTTATTAGGGGAGGGGGCAATTCATGGTTTTCTTATTAGGGGAGGGGGCAATTCATGGTTTTCTTATTAGGGGAGGGTGCAATTCATGGTTTTCTTATTAGGGGAGGGGGCAATTCATGGTTTTCTTATTAGGGGAGGGGGCAATTCATGGTTTTCTTATTAGAGGAGGGGGCAATTCACGGTTTTCTTATTAGGGGAGGGGGCAATTTATGGTTTCCTTATTGAAGAGTGTTGATTTTTTAAAATTCAAGTGAAAGACAAATCAACATTTTAAAGAAAAAGATGAAGGGAGGGGGTCTCTGTTTGACTGTTAATAACCGAAGACCATCCATTTTGAGATCCATGATCTTTACTATCCTTTGGAAAGCTCTAACAAACTTTAGATAAAAAGAGACTTTGGACACCATCCCTTACAAGAATTTTTTAAAATTCAATATATCAATAATAAATATTTTCTGCAGGCTGACTAAGCTTGTATTTGTGAATGCAACTAATGGCTAGTGGCTACCCGATTAACCTTCTATTTTATGACCAACTCATTTAAATATGAATGGAATAGTGGCAGACCAAAAAAGGAGGTTAATCCGGTAACTGACAGGTGCTAGTTGCATTTACGAATACAAGGTTAGAGTCGCAGCTGATGTGAACATGGTTATTGTGATCTCAAACAGAAAAACATGCTTGTCATATCTATACTTTACCCGCAATGATGCCTCTATAGCTCCTCCTAGCTGGCATAGTAGGTGCGGGTGGAGTAAACGCTGGCGGCGTATGCAGTGATGTCATTGCTTCAACTATAGTAGATGGTATGTCAATTAGAGAGTAATGTTTAGGAAATACATTCATTTGAAGTACAGTGTACATGTACAATCCTAATGAGGAAGAGAAGTAAATGTCATGTCAAAGAATATGGGGCATAATTGAGCCTTAATTGTATAGTAATTTGAGAATTAATTGTCAGCTGATACAGCAAGGTCCTATAATAATCCTATTTATACGATTACATGTTATAAAATTGCAGAAACTGTTTATGAACAGAAGTTTTCTAATACTGAATGACCATATACAGTCTAAAATCTAACAGTGAATCTTACTGAAAATACCATGGACAATCTAATCTTTCAAATGAACTGAGTGTCATCTCTTATTTTGTACAGACAGTCATCTTCATACAGAAACTCTCTCCCATCAAACTAATTATAGCAAACAGAACCTTTCTAATCTGCAATATAATTCTGCAGTGACTGATGCACCCACCCAACCCAAAGTTACCCATCCCTCATCAGAAACCTACCTTTCATCCTCACCCTGATTTCTATTTCTGACTAACTCTACTCTTGGCTACTGATGTCAAGATCTAACTGAATACTAAGCCATGTATATCTCTGCTTTTTATTCCAGATACCCTAGATAGACTCATAGCATAGTCACTGGTTACATGAAAACACATCCCCAGCATGTCGAGGTATGTATTTACTATTCTGCAGAGAAAAATATCATCAGAATAACAGACAGGATCAGGTGATCCAATCTGACCAATCATATCTGAGAATTTCTAATTATGCTGCATTATGGGACTAATTTTCTGTTTTTATTGTCATCATGACATGTTTAGGTGTATATCTGAAGAGGTTATTTCCCAGAATCCTTACTAAATTATGAGAATGACTTTATGAACCTTCAAAATGTCTAATTTCTAACTTCAGGATCTCAAGAATCATCATTGAGTGTATTTTATGTTATGACAAATAAAAAATGGATACATGTGAAAAGGAGTAAACGGGATTGTGAAACTTTATATCCAATTTATTTGAAATGGGTTGGCCTAAGTGGATTCATAAAAAATCCTTACAAAAGCCCTTCAAAATTGGTAAATAACAGGTGAATGACCCCTAAAACCAATGGTGTGATTAGTCCTTAAATGCATGGTGTGATTTGGTGTGATCTATACAAATGAGACCTTGGGATAATAATGAGTATATTTTTCTGATTCTTATTAAAGTATCTGTACAGAGAGCAAATTAATTCTAGAGGGGAACAGATTAAAGGCTGTGATATCACATGATAGGGTAATATGCATGCTGGTCTAATACCTCCTGTGTGGTTTAAAGTGGTGTGATTCTACCCTTGTATACTTGCTGCTGTATCATACTATGAGAGAAAGCATCATCAGATCAGCTGATATATTCTTAGTCACTCATGCAACACATGAACATAAGAATATGCTGAATAGGCTAGGCAAATGGAAGTTTAACATCCCAAAAATTGCAACAGTTTTTAAATTAGGCTTATATTGTATATTGATACCAGTTGAAAAACATATCAAAAATATAGAAAAATATATGCAGTGGACAAATATGAAATGTCACATTCTAGGTACCCCCCTCCAAATTTGAGTATGGGATTGTAAATATTTTTTTATTTCAAAATGGAATGCTCTTGTCAACTAAACGAGTAATATTATGATAGTTTACTGACATAAGAGCAACTAAAAATTGTTAACCAACTATTTGAGGGCAAAAATTGGCATTTCTAGCCCCAATTATCTGAAAATAGGCCATCAAATAGCCCGAATTTAATTGAACAATGTATTTATTTCTGTATCGATTTATCTGAATTGCATGAAAAAAATCTAGGAGGTTATTGTATACCTGACCATTGTATAATTTGATAAGTATCAGGGTCATTAAGTGAATATTGAGGGTGAAAATAATATTTGAAATTTCAATATTTTACCACACCCACTTTTGGGGTGACCTTACTTTTGATTAATTACTTCAAAGATATGTCATATTTGAACTCAATAGCACAACTAAATTATTTGTAAAGGCTTATTTTGTCCTGAAATCAGTTTTTTGATGTTTTCAGGAAAGGATTGTGTAAAAAAAGTTAAAAAAAAACAGCAAATGCCAGGTGAAATATAGGAAGCCCTACTTTTAGTTGATAACTGCTAAATTATCAAATGTTTTTTCCTTTTAAATTCAATTTGATATATAATATACCTTTTCTGGTAAAACAGAGAACGATTTGTTAGAAATTAAGTAGAATCAGTGGTCTAAAAATATCCTTGAAAGGGCAACAAAATGTTAAATATCCCTGTCCCTGACATCAGTTTATTAATACAGTATGAGCCAAAAAAGGTAACCCAACCAAATGTTTGTTAATAACCCAGTCATTCAGCATGGGTTTGACATCATATTTGGCACAATTACCTTGTTCAATGTTCTTTCATTCTGCTAAGTGTCATTGATCTATGCTTAATAGTCACGATTTTATGGCCATTTACAAAATGTGCTCAAAATATCGAAATATGCCTAACTGACTGGACATCAATACCAAGTCCAGTTTTTTTTATCTGTGGACCTTTTTTCTATACTAGCAACACTTGAAACATTAAAACAAGAGATAAGAATGAAGATGAGAGCCTTAACACAAGATTTTTATGCTCTTGATTTGAACAACTACGCACGATACGTTCAAGTTGGCCTCCAGCCATGACACCCATATTTCATGGCATGGTATAAAATGGCCATAAAATCGTGACCACTAGAGATAGACCACTGAGACTGGGTAGATTGATAATACATTGACCAAGACTCAACTCATGCAGGATGACTGGACTGAGTTATTAAGATTTGGTTGAGTTACCTTTTTGGCTCGCCCTGTATTAAGGAAAAATTGTTACTTTTGACTAAGGTGTTCTTAACCCCGCAGTGATATTGAGAAATGAAATGAAGAAGTTCAACTGAAGAATTGGATTTCAAGATGAAATTCAATAATTAATGAGGAAAAGGTTTCCACGTTAATAAATCCTACCGAGTTAACTAGTGTAACACAAAGTAAATCCCTGGTCTTTATACAGGGCATGGTTCGATTACGTTATGTTCATTGTCAAAAAGCTGCCTTAATTTTGTAATCTTAACCGTCATATATGGCAACAATCAGTTACGAACTTGTCTATCACCAAACTTCATTAAGGGTGGATCTGGGAACCAACAAGGGGGGGGGGCAAATTTCAGGTCTGACAAAAAAACATCTGGGCTTGCACGGAAAAAAAATTTTGGGCCCCTAAAACCCTAAATTTTGAAACATTGAGGCCCATTATCATCAAAATGTGGCCTGTAATTAAAAAATAAGGCCTTAAAAGGCCCACTTATGACCAAAAAGGCCTTTTTTCTGGGCCCACCCAAGAGTACCCTGCGTGCAGAGTCTAGTTAAACTACAGACGAAGACGAAGCTCTCTTTTAAGAAGTGAAGTCAAACGAATGCAAAGGGTAACCCAAGGGGGGGGGGCGGCCCCCAGATCCGCCAGTGTTCATTATTTAGTCATCATTATTTTCATAATCAGTAATGGAGGTATTTGCACAAATACCTTTGCATACCTTACATGCCATAGAACAATTATTCCATTTCTCATAGAAGTACAATCTGCCTTACACACACAATGGATGATCTCTGAGAGAGGGGAGCTGCATTTAGGCAATTGGTACAAAAGCTTCGTTGCTTATTTCCCAGCCCAATTATAATGGAGGCAGTTTATTTCCTTCCCACTCCTGGATCTGATGGTACACTCTATAACTGTGGTATTCCGCAGCATCAGAAGTTGGAGGAAGAACACAGGGATGCAATAATTCAGATCTTGCTGCTCTCTTTTAATAGAATTTTTGAAGCCTAAGTTCATTTAGGGTTTCACCATTTTTCCACCATAAATTGACAAAAGAGCATGTTCCTCTGCAATGACAGAGTTGCTTGCATTTCACTGGTTTTCCACTTAATTACGTTGTAACAAAATGTCGGAACATCGAAGGTATGATTTTACTTTTTTCCTTATTTCAAACGTTGTAGGCATAATTTCCACAACATTGTTATCACAAACATGTATCATATGTTTAAAAAATGTACATATTTGCGAACAAATAGTTCAGAAGACAACAGAATCGTCGATTTAATTCCTCACTTTAGTTACATAAACGGTATTTCGATAAACAGTTAAGATCTGAACTTTTGACCCAAATCGTTTATGTAACTTAAGTAAGGAATTAAATCAACAATTCTGTTGCCTTCTGAGCTATTTTTGCGCAAACTTGTACATTTTCTAAAACATATGATACTGATACACGATCACAATTATAACGCGTAAAAAAAGAAAAATCGTACCTTCGACGTTTAGACATTTTGTTACCGAAACGACCCATTTGGTAATTTAAAAACAACCGCTTGTTTTCTCAAGAACTCTATCTTTTTTATCTGCCTCAATGATAGCTTCTTGTCTATGCCAGGTATAACCAGAATGCGGTGTCACACCCCAGAAAAGATAAACAAAAGACAATCTTATTTCATTTATATTCCAACATTTTGTTTCTTGGGTTACTGCTTTTGGTTCAGGTTTGAGGAAAATGTTGAAGTTTGTGTTTACAAGGAGATCTGAATGAGTACTGTATTTGAGGTTTGGACACTTTGGATTACAGTTTTCACAATCACAATATCTGCATCCGATTCTGAATGTAGCACATGTACACTCAATGTTTTCCAACCTGACAGACAGAATTACCATCATTCCTACGCACTGAAATTATATTAATGAAAAACGCTCCAGATATCTGAGATTTAAATGTGCTCTATCAGTTTAAATTCCGTTTAATAACCATAAATTCGATTCTACAGCATTATACATCCAATTGATAGTTCCATAGTAATGTACTCCTATGTGTACCCTTTGCATTCGTTTGACTTCACTTCTTAAAAGAGAGCTCCGTAGGTCAAAAGTGATTTACCTAACTGTCACCGGTACCCG